GTTTCCAATTTTTGAAAAACTGGTAGAAAATTTGGTGTCTTGATTTCATATGATATGTTTCCTTGGCTTTTCTCTGATAAAAGGGCTATTTTGTTGCGTTTTTTCTTCAAAAGGGATCTGAGTTTTCTTTTCCTTGGGGTGTTTATAGTAAGTTGGGCAGGGGTTTGGGAGAACTGACAATATTTGTTATTTTCTCCATTTGTTGATGAAGGCATATTTTAATGTTTGACTGGTTGCATTGGCTTTGCGGGGGCTCTTTTACTTCCAGCTATTGGCAGGGGATTCGGGACATCAAAAAGGGTGGGGAATGCATTTTTGGATAATAGGGACCATGTGCAAAAATTTGGCAAAAATTCTGTTTCAAAATGTTTGGAACAAATGTAGCAATTTTTGTTTAAGTAGGCCATTGACTTCTTTAGCAGATCCTGTCTGCTGCTATTTTGTACCCTTTTTCTGCATCTATAAAGTAAAATAGATCTTTTAATCAATAAATTTGAATTAATTTTTTTAAAAAGTTTGATTGTTTTACGTTGAAACAAGAAGATCCTGTTGAAGGGAATTAAATTTAGGCCTACTCACCGGCTTTCGTCCTATGGGAAACAGTAGAACTGAAGATTGGGACATGACTTTCTTTTGTTATTGCAGTTAACAGCAACGCAGTAAGCACCAGTCCCGCTCCGTTTAACATCTTTCACAAGTTTCGTCTGAGAGGCCAGCATTTTAAGCAATTGCGAAGTTCCAGAAAAAGGAAAGTTTACTACTTGCGTGAATATTTTCCAGGAATGTTCCACCTCTAACCTCCTTTTCAATGATGCATGTGCAAGAAAATCCATGACCACTGCAAAAGCCCGTAGTGACCCTTCTGCCTTATTTCTATTCTGTGATCGTGCTCATAAAACGTAAGAAAAAATTTTTGTCCTGAACTTTCTCTATATTCTAAATACTCTTTAAATGAGAGCATCCTAAAGATGACGATTTCTACACTATACACTGCAAACATTTATCCTAAAATACTCCTAAGGTGAACGAAAAAGTTGGGAATTGAAATAAAATACTTGAAAACATTTATCCAATATCTACGCAAACGTCATTTGAAAGTCGCTTTTCTCGATTGATCAGCTTGGTTTTTCATTAACTAGTCAAAATTTTATGGTTTTATTACTTTAAAACTGCTGCTATACAGACAGAGTAAATCTTTTGAACAGAATCATTGATTAAAAATAACATTCCCTTTGTCATTCATTCACCATTCTACACCGACTTTCTGCCACAATGTAACTCTTTCGATGAAAACTTTTAATAATTTTATGGTTTTTAAATCAAGATGTTAAAATTTTGTTACAGAGAAAGCTTTGACCACAGATCACTGTGTTCATTTCATGAAACAATTGCATACACTCAGCAAGCTACATGGCTTAGACAAAGAGACTAGTATGAGAGCAAACCTGAATGGTTCTTTTCCACTGTCTTCATCCCAATCCAATAGGCTGATCCATATCTGGAATATTTTTTCTGTCGCATGCAAAATACTATGGCAACATAGCCCTGAAGGCTGACAAATGAAGGTTCCAGTCAACTAACCTTGTAGCTCTGATAAACTGTAACAAGATCCCTGTTTTGATAAGAAATTTAGCAGTTTTAATTATACACAACTAATATCAAGGTTTTGAGATTAAAATTAACACCAATAAACTCTATGGAACATTGAAATATATCACAAATCACACATGATGAATATAATCAGCAAACCACAGTTTGTTGAAATCTCACACATACCCTTCAGCCTGATGTACATACTCCAGAAAGCAAACAATCTTGATTTTGATGATGAGGCCATTACAAAGCTGTTGAACTTATCACAAAGCTCTTGAAAAACAGGACATTTGACATAATGATTGAGTGGGTCGTCAAAAAAGGCTCCGACATGCATGAGATAAAATCAACTGTGTTGACTCTTTGACTTTATCAAATCTTTCTAGGAATGCTTCAACTTTACCTATTACTAGATCCTTTGCTGATGATCCCAGACTCAATGGAAATATCCGTCCAAATGAATTGTATTTGTTTATATTACAAGTCAATTGATTACAAGTCTTTTGGTTTCCGAGAGGACAATTTGATTTCACATTTTAGAAAATTATGAAGTAATTTTGATATTCAATAACTCCATCTAGTAATTCTAAGGCCTTCATTGCACGCTTCTTGTTTTTCTTAAGGGGGGAGGATGAACAGAGATTCTTTCCAAATGACAATGGCTATTTTGTTGATAAAATGAATCTTTGATAAAATGGCTATTTTGTTGCGTCTTTTCTTCAAAACTTCAATCTGTCCCTAGCCAAATTTGATTCCTGGGTAGGTGGGTTGGGGGTTTTCATTTTAGTTTCAGTTTCATTGTCGTTTCTGAAATACTTTTTTCTGAAACTGGCTACTTTCTGAAATATTGGATATCGTTTTGTACGGAAATGTGCCGCACACAAATCGCTAAACTCTAAGATTCGCCATCTTGTCTCGTGCTCTCGAAGATCTAACTAAAAATAACTGAAACTCGGTCCCAGTTCTCTACTGTCCTAAACTGTCCTAAAATGTCCACTACTAATCAACATAACGAATGATAATAATAAAGTACCGTACACAAACTCCCCTAAAATTTGAGTAAAGTAACATACCTGAGTCAAATTTTATCAAACCTTTACGGTACGCAGTTGTCCTCTTCAATCTTCTTCCAAACAAAGTCTCGTCTTCACTTCTGCATCCACCGCAGCTCTTCTCTTCTCTCTTGTTGTCACATTGGCCTTGGCATCGATTGCTCCGTTGATTGTTTCAACTGTTATCACATTGACTTTGTCATCAGTTGCTCCTTTGATTGTTTCCACTGTCTGTGACTCCTTCGCTTGACAACCAATCTCCAATGGGCAGATAGCTTGAACCGGTCGCTCTATGAGATGTCCTTTGTGTCTCAAAAGCACTCCCCTGACTACGTCGTCTCTTCCTTTCACAAGCTCTTCTACTCTCGCTTTCTTCCACTGCCCTTTATTTCTTTCATCACCAACAACTAGTACTACTTCTCCGATCCGTGGCAGACATGCACTCTTCTTTCTGTTAATACGATGCACTTCCATTAAACTGTTGATATACTCTTTGTTCCAACGTGACCATACGTGCTCTTTCGCATTCTTCGATCTCTTATACATCTTGGTCACTCTTTCTTCGTCTACCTCCACATCTTCAAATGTATGTGAATCCTTCCCCCACATGATTATGTTAGGTGTTAGCACTTGCTCCTCCCCACTTTCACTTTCTACATATGTCAATGGCCTGTTATTCAAATGCCTCTCTATGTCCATGATGACTGCTTCCAGTTGTTCAAATTGCAAATGCGTTTTTCCAAGGGTTTTGTACAATGTCTTCTTTAAATCCTTAATTAATCTTTCATACATCGCCCCCCACCAGGGACTTTTCGACAAGTTGAACCTCCAAGTGATGCCTAGAGTTGCCAAATGGTCTTGCAATTTTTCACTTTTTCGTATCAATTTTATCCACTCAGCTGTTGTCTTGAAAACACTTGCGTTGTCAGAGACTATGACCTCTGGTCTCATTTTCCTTGTAATGAACGCATTTAACTTCCTCTGAAATTCTTCAGCAGTTTGTGACCTTGTTACCTCTAAATGAACTGCTCTCATCACAGCACAAGTGAAAATAATCACGTAAACTTTGATCTCTTCTTTGCTTGTACTCCCCCTGCACTTGAGAGGCCCGGCAAAGTCAACACCTGTGTTCTGGAATGGCAGGCTCTGAACTGTACGAAACATTGGGAGCGCAGCTGTTGCTGGTGCTTCAAATGGTTTTGCAGAAAATACTTTGCACACATTGCAATTCCTGATTTCTCTCTTGACCAATGTTCTCATCTTTGGTATCCACCATGTCTCTCTCAGTGCTCCCATTGTATTTGCTACTCCCATATGCATAACTTTCCTGTGTGTGTGTCGAATCAGTTTCTCAGTAAAGAGACTCTTCTCCAATTAGATTGGTTGATACCCTTGAATCCTTCCCTGGCATCGAAGCATACCTGTTTTCTCGTCTCTTATCAATTTCCATCCAGGTGTTTCTTTCATCTCTATAATGTATCTTTATTCTCTTACTACCCAATGATCTCTTGCACTCATAATTTCCTCTGTGGTCAGAGGTCCTCTTGTTACCTTCTCCTTTCTCTTCTTGGCAAGACAATTTTTGATAAATCTCAAACACCATGATGTGGTTCTAAGTGTTCTCCAATAGCTTTGACGCTCTAAAAGCTTATCCCATTCATCACTCTCTGTCTCGTTTGTGAATAAGATTGCCTCTTTAATTGGTCTTTGTTCTTCCAAGTTTCTTGTTGAACTCTTCAGCACTGGTTGTTCTGGCCATTCTTCTTCATTTAGCAGCCAGTCTGGCCCTTCAAACCACTTCTTTTCTACCATTTTCTCTATGTTCGCACCCTGACTGCGACGACCGACTGCTAAATTTTCACTTGATGGGCAGTATTTCCACTCTATTCCAATTTCATTCCCTATCTCTGTAATCTTTCTCACCCTGTTCGCTACAAATGCTTTCCATTGTTTCCCTGGATTGTTTATCCAAAATAAGGCCACCATACTATCCATCCACACATTGATTGATGTTATTGGCCAATTCTTCAATGCTTTGCAAATGTTCTTGGCCATGTTTGCTGCCATTTGCCCCCCAACCAACTCAAGTCTGGCTATCGAAGTGTTTCTCTTTGAAATTCTTGACTTTGAAGTGAGTAAGCCCTTTACTTTGCTTGATCCTTGTTCCACTACTGCAATTGTCACAGCACAGCATGCCTTTTCACTTGCATCTGCAAATATGTGTAAATTCACTGCATCAACTGCTCTTATTTCTCTTACTAAAGTTCTTGGTATCTTTAATTCTCTCAGCTGTCTCATCCATTTCAAATAATCTTTCATAAGGGGTTCAGAAACTTCAGCATCCCCTCCCTTGTTCTCATCACAGGCCTCCCTGAAGATTCTCTTTCCTTCTACTAGGGTTGGTGAAATGATTCCCAAGGGGTCATAAATTCTGGCTAATTGACTCAATACAGTGTTCTTTGAGACCTTATCCTCTTCCCCTTTGTTTATGGGTACCATCAAAGTATCTTCTTCCTTGTTCCAAACATGCCCCAAAATCTTGCTTGGATTCTCCATATTTTCACTTTCTAGGCTTTCTATGTTGGATTCCCATTTATGAATTTGAAACTTTGCATCCTCTAGTATTTCAGATGCCTCTCCTTTAAATCTTTGAAGCTCTTCAATGCTCATTCCTGTACACATCAGATTGTCTACATATGTATTTTCTCTGAGCATTTCTAGGGTACTGGCTAGCTCTGTGTTAGTAAATTCCTCATAATGGTGCTGCAAGGTTCCCCCCAACATAAATGGGCTGGCTTCCCCCCCAAAAGGGACCCTTAGAAATCTTAGGTGTTCTTCCTTCCCACTCAGTGTGAATAGGAATCTGAATGCATCTCTATCCTCTGATTTAATTCCAATTTGTAAAAATGCCTTTTGTATGTCTCCTAGCAGCAGATATGGTGTCATTCTTGTTCTGACCATAATGTCCCAAATATTTGGCTGCAACGCAGGTCCCTTGTACATGCAATCATTGATGCTGTTTGTTGTTGGCGTTGGGCGTGCACTAGCATCAAATACCATTCTCACCTTTGTGGTAGCAGCGCTCTCTCTTACAACTGGTTTGTGAGGCATGTAAAATATTCTTGTTCCAGATGGTTCACTTGGAACTCTCTCCACAACTCCCTCTCTTAACTGATTCTCAACAATTTCTGTGTATTCTTTCTGCAGTTTTTCATCATGCCTCAGTTTGCGCTCAACATTTTTCAATCTCTTTCTGCTCTGCATCTCATTTGTTTCTGCCATATTGCTTCCTGGTATCCATGGAACATTAACTTCATACCTTCCATCATTTTGTCTGGAAATGTTCTCTTTGAACTCTTTGTAAACATCTAATTGGTCATCTTCTCCCCTGTCTTCAACCCCAAGTATGTCAAGGCTGTATAATCTCTCATATTCATTTCCAAGCTCTCTGGTGAACATGCAATTTGTGCTAGAAAATTCTCCTCCATGAATAATCCAACCAAATGATGTGCTTTCTACAATTGGTTCATCATCATTCCCCTTGAAAACTGTCTCTGTTCTCAGTTTGCTGTATGTTTTGTCTCCAATAATCATGTGAATTTTATGTTCCCCTGATGCTGTTATGTAGAATTCTTTGTCTTTGGTGTGTCTAAACTGCTGTTTCAATTTCCTTAAATCTGGCCTTTTAACTGTTGTGAAATCATGCATTTCTACCCCTGCAACCTCAATATGTTCTCTGGCTTTCTTGTCTAATGATTCTATGGTCATCTGAAAGATTGGCATGGCTTTTCTTGCTGTTCCATTGATAGTTGTTACATCTTTTGTTTCATATCTCTCAGGTTTTGATTTGAGCATCATTAACGCATCCTTAGAAATGAAATTCCTTCCTGAACCTGTGTCAAGGAATGCCCAAATAACCTTTCCATCAATTCTTACAGGCAAAATTGGTGGGAGTGTTTCCTCCACAGAAGGTGTGAATCCTGTTAAAATTGAACCTTTTTCACTTTCACCTTTCTGCTTTTCACATAGGCTGCTGTGGTGTTTAGCCTTACAAAAGTAGCACCCCCTACTTAGACACTTATCCCCCCTGTGTCCTTTTTTCCCACAGTTGAAGCATAGCTTATTTTCTCTGAAGAAGCTCCTCCTACTCTCTATAGTTTCCTGTGTTTTGCACTTATCACTCCAATGATCTTGATCACAATAAATACATTTTCTTGAGTGTTTCTCCTTTGTTTCACCTGTATACCAGTGTTTTTCTCTTTTTTCCACTGGCTTTCCTATTTCCTCTGTTTTGTTTCTTTTCAACCACTTCTGCAA